ATCCAGTTCCAGGTGATGCTTATGCTGATGCTGGCGGTCTAAGTACCACTCTTTTAGAACCACAGTCAAAGCCTATTAATCTGGGCTCCCTGCCACCAAGCCAGTCAGTCACCTTATGTTTTATCCTTTGAATCACTTAACAAAGGATCATTTAAGAAATGCAAGTCTCATTATATCTATCACTTACTTCAATCTCAGGATCACTTTTACAACAGATGTGATTGAATTGTGGCCAAATATGTGAAAACATGATGCTCTCATTACTCAGATATGTATGCAGCACATGTTTTATTTTTGTTCCATTCTGGTTAAAACCTTTTTGCACTGTCCAGGGATATCTGTAGGTCAATCTGGTTGTTAAAAATCTCAGTCATTGTCCAATTTATAATCTCTGTTTGATGGCTTCCTTTTTCATCTACACCTTTAAAAGATGCATTTTCCTCTAGCATTAGGGAGAGGATGGATAGGGTTTGCTTATGTAGGAGTGGCCCTTTGGTAGAAACAAAATTATGTGGCTGTGCTGAGGCCATTTTTTGGCCAGCTTTCTGTCATAGTATTATCATCTGCTCTTGCTTCTGGTAGTAGCAGACTATCAGTTGTTTTATGTGACATATTAAATGGAAAACAGATATCCAGCCGACTTGTAGTCCAAGGCCTTTTGATACCAGTTTTTTTGGAGGAAGGAGCAATGTTATTTCCTTTCTTTGGTCCCAGCAGTTTACCTCTAAGCACACCAAATCCTGGCCCCTGAAGGAGTGTACTTTCTTCAGTGAGGAGGTCAAGGGTAGGCCCTTGTTACTCATAGTGTGATAGTGGAGCCAGTAATTCTGCATCACTAGGGAGCTCCTTAGAAATGGAGAACTCTTCCCCTTAACTACTACATTCCAGTAAGATCCCTTGGTCATCAAATTTGGCAAGCACTGGCCTAGGCCCCAAAGATGTCTAAAAATGCTTACCTCAACTGATTCCTCTGTTCATTCACAAATGATACTAATTTCCAGGAGCTCTAATAGTCTCACTTTCCTCATCTGTAAAATGAGGACAGTAATAGCTACCTTGATGAATTTTGCTGAAATATGGGAAATATCCAGTATAGAACCTTTCATGTGATGAATGTTCTATAAATGGCAGCCATTATTACTTTTGCATCTTTATCTCCTTAAATTTTAATATTAGCCCTTTTGAAATATTTATATATAAGTCACCCATCTCCCACACTAACTTTTCAGGTGCCCCAATGCTTGAAAGTTAAATAAAAACAAAATTTGGGGTTATAATTAAGGAAATGCTTAATTTTCAATTATATAGCACAATTGAGATAGCTTTAGAAAACAGAGATTGCTTGCTTTGCAGGTTAGATTGGTGCTTTTCTAGAAATATCAGATCTTGATCCTTGTAGCTTTTACACTAGGAAAATGCATTAAAAGATGCTCAGATACGAGTCAGGAAAAAATAACAGTAGAAAGCACAATATGATACTACCACACCATAAGAGTGAAGAAAATTAAAAATATGACAATATTAATAGGAACTGTGGTGGCGTAGTGGATAAGGCACTTGACTTCTAACTGGAATTTCAGTGGTTCAAACCTACCAGCTGCTCCATGGAAGGAAGATGGGGCAGTCTACTTCCATAAAGATTTATAGCCCTGGAAATCCAGTGGAACTATGATTTGGAAAAGACTCTATGGTAGTGAGTTTGGTTTTTTGTTTTTGAAAAGATGAAACTTCATCTGTAGTGACAGAATGTAGCTCAGACATGGCATAGGGCTAAAGGTACAAGGGACATTGACTAGAAAGGGGCAGAAGGACCATTTGGTAAGTAAAGGAAAAGTTTTATATCTTCATTACATTATGGTTACATAATTGTGTATATATTGGTCAAATTCACTGAAATATACACCTACAATGAAGGCACTTTCTAAATGTACAGTATATACTTCAAAAAAGTTCATAGAGCAATAAAAAATAATTTCTTAGAAAAAAAATAAATAAAGTGTCTTACGACAATAAAGTGGTGTCTGGACATTGAAATTCCACCTTAAAAATTCAATGAACTACCAACAAACATATGAAGAAATGTTCACGATCATTAGCTATTAGAGAGATGCAAATCAAAACAACGAGATACCATCTTGCTCCAGCACTAGTATCAAAGTTCAACAAGACAGAAAATAACAAATGCTGGCGAGGTTGTGGAGAGATTCGGACTCTCATACACTGCTGGTGGGACTGTAAAATGGTACAACCATTGTGGAAAGCAGTATGGCGATTCCTTCAAAAGTTGGAAATACAAATACCATTTGACCCAGCCATCCCATTATTAGGTATATACCCTAAAGAAGTGAGAGCCATAACAAGAACAGATATATGCACGCCGATGTTCATCGCAGCACTATTTACAATAGCCAAAACTTGGAAACAACCTAGATGTCCAACAACTGAGGAATGGATAACCAAACTTTGGTACATTCACACAATGGAATACTATGCAACGCTAAAGAATAATGTAGAATCTGCAAAACACCGCATAACGTGGATGAACTTGGAGGACATTATGCTGAGCGAAATAAGTCAGTCACAAAAGGACAAATATTGTATTAGTCCGTTATTGTAAAAGTTAAGGAAAGGTTTATCTATTGGAGGGCATTTTCTTTGTTGGTTACCAGGGGTGGGAGGGGAGGGGAGGGAATGCTGTTAGACAGATAGAGATAAATATTGATTTGGGTGAAGAGAAGGGCAATGTACCAAATGTGAGTGACCAATATGGCAGCATTGAGGATGAGAAAGACAGAGAGAGTTACATGGGCAGTACAGACAACAAATATGAACCCTTTTGCATATACAGTATTGAGTTGTCAGTGAAAGCAAACATGGGTATAGGGACGGATAGATAGGTGAACAAGCTAAACAATTAGGTATGTCTAAATGGAGAGTGTATCCAAGATCATATATAGGGTTGGCAGACAATGGGCCCATAAGTTCATGTGAATGATCAGAATTCCCAGGTGTATAGTAGAGCTGACAAGGGGCAAGGTTATGGTCATTGCTTGGTCACAGCCAGCTTCCCAGAGGGACCTAGTAATTGATCCTGCGGGCTTGGGACCATGGTCGCAGGGGACATCAAGCTCCATTGGCATAACATACTATACAAAACATTGTTCCACCTACTATTTTGCCGAGTAGCAACTGGGACCTTAAAAGCTAGGAAGCTGCCATCTAGATGCAACAACGGGTCTCTCCTCGTCAAGAAGAAAGAAGAAAACCAAAATTAATGGAAACAATCAGTCCTAGCGACTGGTACACCATCCGATCTGCAACCTATACAACTATGAGACCAGAAGAACTAGATGGTGCCCAGCTACCACTGCCATCCACTTGGAAGGGATGTAGGAGATCCTGTATAAAGAGGGAGAACAATGTGGTACAAAACTCAAAATCATTTGGAGGCAAAAAAAAAAGAAGGTGGGGACCAGGTTTGCTGGTCCAATAGAGCCTGGTGTAACCACTGAGACTATGGCCCCTAGCTGCCCTTCAGGTCTGGAGTTGAACCCACAACTGTGGTTTCCAGCCAAACAAAGTACAGGCATGTGAGTTAAACATTTACCTCAAGTAGACACACGCCCTGGAGAGAACAATCATGGGAGAAGGAAGGGCTGCTTATGCACAGGGAGATAGCTCAGGGTGCAGAAGAGTATGAAGGGATGGACACTGGGAGGAGGTAACTATGGGGAGGAAGTGGGAGGGGAGCTGCTGCATTGTAAATTTTGGTCAATGACATGAGACAAAGTATATGTGAACTGCTGTATGAAAAGTGAATTTACTCTGTAAATCTTCACCCAAATCCTAACAAACAAAAAAAAATTCAATGAACTAAATTAAAGTTAATTTTGTGACAGATACAGTTTCCAAAGAGCTAATAAGGATGAGATAAAAAAACAACTTTTTAAAAAAAATTTATTATTTATTATTTGAATTTTTATTGCATGTTCATGTGTCTCTGTGTGTAAATATATGTATTTGCATATATAACAATATGTGTGCATTCATTTGTTGAATTTTTAAGTACTTTTAATTCATATTACAGCCTCAAGGTCTTTAATCCTCATTTTATACATGAGAACACTAAATCAAAGAAAGTTTAAGTTCAATTTCTAATATCATATAGTTGATAAGTAAAGGAGCCCTCAACTTCAACTGCCATTGAGTAGATTAGATTCATAGTTATCTTCCTTGGGTTGCCAAGGTGGTTTCTCTTTGGAAGTAGATTGCCCGATCTTCCTTCTGAGGAGTGGCTGGTGAGTTTGAACTGCCAGCCTCCTGGTTAGCAGTCAAATGCCTTAGGCACTATGCCACCAGAACTGGGGGTCAGAACATAGTTTTTGGAGTCAGACGTCCGAAGGCTTCTTAAGTCCCCATTTGCTAGTGGTGTAACTAGTGGTCGCTGTGAGTCAGAATCAACTTGGCGTCAGTGGGTTTGCTTTTTGGTTAATAGGGTAGACATCAGAATTAAATAACGTGAAAGGAGAATTAAAGAACATCTATATATTAAACAATAAAAGTTTGATACAGAGCTTAGCATATGTTGAATAATAATAATAAATTATTATTATCCAACTTTAAAATGCATGTATGTTCTACTATATAACACATCACTATCCTTCTGTCTGGCTATCTTTCTCACTACAGTAGAATATCTGGACAAATAGAACAGAAGGGAGGAGAGAGAATTTCTAATTGTGATGTAGGCAAGTATTATGAATCAAAAATTCCACCAAAGCAAAAGGAAGAGGTCACAATTTTATTTAAATTAAAATAAACTTAGACTAAGGATCATGGCTCTGAAGTTTCTGACAGCTACCAGTGGCACTGTGAAGACAATTTTCCGACCTACCGTTCTCTGCCATTCTTGGGAGATTTTACTTGGCTATATGACCTCTCTGAGAAGCATCTGTTACCGTCCTCAATCACCCACGTATGTTAGACATCAATTGGTTCCTCCATCAGCCAAGTATGGTGGACGGCACACAGTGACTATGATTCCTGGGGAGAGCATCGGGCCTGAACTTATGTCACATGTCAAATCTGTGTTTGCACATGCATGTGTGCCTGTGGATTTTGAAGAGGTACAGTTATCCTCTGCTTGTACTGTAGAGGACTTTCACAATGTCATCTTGTCCATCCGTCGAAATGGTGTGGCACTAAAAGGCAACATTGCAACTGATCATAACCTGCCATCAACTCACACCTCCCGTAACAGTGTGCTTCGCACCTCCTTGGATCTCTATGCCAATGTCATCCATTGTAAGAGTCTCCCAAGTGTGCTTACCCGGCACGACAATATAGATATCATTGTCATTCGGGAAAACACAGAGGGTGAGTACAGCAACCTGGAACATGAGAGTGTGAATGGAGTGGTAGAGAGCTTAAAGATCACCACTGAGGCCAAGTCTTTGCGCATTGCTGAATATGCCTTCCAGCTGGCGCAGGAGATGGGGCGCAAGAAAGTGACAGTTGTGCATAAGGCCGATGTCATGAAACTGACAGATGGTCTGTTCCTCCAGTGCTGTGCTGAGATGGCATCACACTATCCTCAGATCACCTTTGAGACGATGAATGTGGACTACACTACCATGCAGCTGGTAATCCGGCCCCAGCAGTTTGATGTCATGTTGATGCCTAATCTTTATGGCAATATTATCAGCAATATTTGCACGGGGTTGGTTGGGGGAGCAGGCCTCGTGCCTGGAGCCAACTATGGCCAAATGTATGCAGTGTTTGAGACAGGTGTAAGGCAAACAAGCAAGAAGACAACCAGTAAGAATATTGCCAATCCTATTGCCATGCTTCTGGCAAGTTGTATTATGCTAGATTACCTTGCACTTAACTCCTATGCTACCTCCATTCGCAATGCAGTCTTGGCGTCCATGGACAACAAAAATATCCACACACCAGACATTGGAGGGTGTGGTACCACATTGGAAATCATTCAGAACATTATAAACCACATCTGCTAAACCTCAAACACTCTGTGTGTTGGAGGCTCAGCTGTCCCCCAAAGTCCTCTCTCTTCCACTGTTTAGTTCCCTTCCTGTTAGCAACCCTAGCCAGCTTGGCTAGTTAGGAGTCAACAATAAATCAGCTGTTGCCTTAATTTGAAAGTGTGTTGAGAGTAAGTCAAGACTGATTTTTTTTCTCTTTTTTCTATTAAATTAAAAAGCCATAAACATGCCTTGTCTAGATTAGCCAAGCCTATTGTAGTAAAAGGGAGCTCTGGTAGCATAGTGGCTAAGACACTTGCCTGCTAACTAGATGGCTGGCGGTTCAA